AGACCTGGGCCTCTAACACAGAACCTTTCATGGCCAAGTTGAAGAGCAGGTAGTAATCTACCTGGAAAGGAGGGGTTCCTCACCAGGAGTTCTCTACGTAGATGAGATCCTGGGTCCAATAAAACCAAACAAACCAAACCGAGACAATTCTTACATGCTTTGATTCTATAGTTTAGTAGTAACCTAGAGGACCGAGGTGCATCTTCTACATGGAAATTCTGACTCAACTGGGAGGAGAACCGAGTTAAAAGGGGAAAAGACACCAGAACTCACTTCATTCTTTCATAGTCCAAGGAAGTTGTAAATATTTTGGTTTCTCCAATGAGTATATCGCAAAATGGACGACATCCATTCCTCTGTTTGTTGAAACAAGGGACAGGACTGAGAGTGACTGACTTAACTGTGAGAGGTTTGCAGTGCGGAATGATGGGTTTGTCAGCTATGAGCTCACAAATATATCCTATGTATCTGAAACAGAAGAAAGTTACTCTGTAGGTTTCCATCACACCACAGAAAGCCATTCATTTACTCTTGGTAAGAACCCTAGACTTGGAAAGCAGTATGCTACAAGGAAACCCAGCTCCTTCAAATTCCCTACTACAGCTTCATAATCTTTCAAGGATCTGAGATTAGGTCTCCACCAATGTAGCAGGTGTGTTCTCCAGGTCTCTGGAAATTACCGTGGCCGAAAGACTCATTATCTTGTGGCTAACCTGGTGTAGAGTCTTTCCACATTCAGGTAGGCCAGGGCTTAGGCAAGAGATGTACAGTCTACCAGTGGGCCCTTACTCAAAGCCTTTCCAGCCTGGTAGACTTGGGCTCCACTGGCCTGGCCAAGATCACTTCTACACCAAAATGGCACACTGGAGGAGGAAATACTAAAGAACCTGAGGTAATGAAGACAGCAAACCACTTAACTGCTAACCCTGCTGGATTTCTACCAAAAACTCCTGCTGATCGGTGACCTTGCTGATGAGATATGCCCTCCAAGCAATAGATTAATTATTCAGTAAGTGTTTATTAAGTACTAAGTATTTGGCAGTGACTGTGCTAAGTGGTGAGAATACAAAGAAAAACCAAAAGCCATCCCTGCTCTCCAACGGCTTATATTCTAATGAGGAAGGAAGACCATACATAAGTCAGAATATACATGTTAAACATAGAATAAATGGAAATCACAACCCATGCAACCCTACCGTAAATTTGACATGGGAATTCCCCCAAACATGCTGGAGCCATTAATAGGGCAATGGGTGACGTCCTGTGTGAGAGCTCTACATTGGATTGGGGGACAGAGTTTGGCAGAGAGAAAGAGAATCTAGACAGATAATTAGAGTGAGAAGCCATAAGTGAGTCTTAGCTCTGCCTGTTAATCCTTCAGTCAAGTAGCACTGTGTCTTTTTTTTTTTTAGGCAATTGGGATTAAGTGACTTGCCCAGGGTCACACAGTTAACTAGCGCTTCTTAAGCACTCTCTATGTGCCAGGCACTGTGCTAAGCTGCCACTTAACCTATTTGACCTGATACAAACTTTAATTTCTTTAAACCTCAGTTTCTTCAGCTGTAAACTAGAATGATGATATTTCCATTACCTCCATCACAGAGTTGTTATATGGATCAAACAAGATAATGGGTTAGAGTGCCTCTATAATTTAAAAAGTACCGCTAGGTCCTGATCAGTGTGAATTATGAATAGCAGTTCTGTGTATTTGGAGTCACACTATCTCAAGTTATAATTATATAAAATATGGCAACTGGTTCCAGTTCAATGGAAATATCATTTCAGTGGATTCATTGATCACAATAATTGGGACCTCATTGTATTAGCTAGGCATGTATTTGTGTGTTTATTACCTATTGTATATTTCTACAAGCAAATTTGCTTTATATATTTCTTTTTATGATGTCTTTCCTCATCCTCATATTGGTGTGACAAGAAGAAGTCTATCAAAGACTTTGTTTTTCTACTTGTAGCCAGGCATTTTACTCCATTGGTGTTGAAAGTCTGTTGCCCCAGCTGTAAGTCTGACCAATTAACAAGCATCGTCTCCTACACCATGACTATTTCATTTCAAACTCGTTGTCCACCGTGGATATCCTGAAGGCACCCCCAAGCTCAGCACTTTAATTAAGGCAGGACTATGCCTCTCAAAGTCCAGGCCAGCTCTTTGTGCCTGATTCAAACAAGGCAAGGCACGAGGGCTGGTGGGTTTTAAACAGCACATGAGACAAGTTACCGTATTCTATCCAACCTTGGAACCAGCATACTCTACCTCCTGTGGGATGGCCAAAGTCCGATTCCGGGTCGCTTTACATTTAGCAACTGAACAGCAGGGGCTGGGTCAGAGAAGAGATGACAGAAACAAAACATTGCACTAACCAGAACTGCCGACGCAGCACGTCCATCCTGCCAAACAAAAGGCAAAAGCAGAGTGAGTGAACGGGGCAGCGGCAGCTGGGCCAAATTCCCATCTCACTGAACACCTGGTCTGGGATTTTGTACTGAGAAAGGGAGATTGTGAAACACGGGTTCTGGAAGACAAACCCCCAATGACAGTGTTGCCTGCTGGGTGGAGAGCTGGTCTTGGAGTCTTAAAGGTTAGGATTCAAAACTTTCTTCTGACACTTATCAGCTGTAAGGTTGTGGACAAGTCATTTAATTTCTCTGAGTCTTTGCTTCCTCAGCTTAAAATGGAATGATAATAATGTATATCAGGATCTTTGAAAACTTTTCATTAAATGTCATCACCATCATCATTATTGTTATTGTTATATCATCCTTAAAAGGTGGTCAACCAACCTATGCTTGAATACTTCAGAATGAAAGGGAGCTCACTCTCTACAAGACCAGGCCATTTTTAGGCAGCCCCGATTATGAGTTCTTTAATATCTAACTTAAATTCATTGCTCTTTGTTTTGGCCTCTGGAGCACCACATGGCAACATCTAATTTCTTCTCCTGACCAGGGCAGAGGTCTATCGCCTCCCTCACTCTGGACAGTATTAGAAGAGACTAAACATAAGTGAGCATTTTGGCTATTCTCCTTATACTGAGCTTTTAGTCCACTAAAACCAATCAATCAATATCTATTAAGCACCTACTATGTGCCAGGCACTATGCTAAGTTCTGGGGGTAAAAAAGGAGGTAAAAAATCAGTCCTTGCCCTCCAGGAGTTCATAATTTAATGAACTGTAAATTAAATTAATGGATTGTAAGTCAAATTCCTAAGATCATTTCCCTCTCCCATATAAACTGGTGTCCAGACTTCTGCCTGTCCTTACTTTTCTAGTTGATTTTTTGGATCTAAAGAGACAGCTCCCAGTCAGGTGAGTATTAGTAGAGCCCCCTGGGGGCACCATAGCACACAGAGTGCTGAGCCTGAAGTCAGAAAACCTGAGTTCAGATCTGAATTAATGGAGCCTTGATGTATTAGGCAAACTCTTGAGGTACAGTCACTCCATCAACTGTGAGTTCAGTTACCCATACTACCATCACAGCCTAGATTTCTTCATTTTCTCGACCTGGATGCGATGAGAGCATTTGTAAACTCTCCAGCTGACATCAATCCAGACATGTATGCCTAATTCCCTTGGTCAACTGGTATGATTAGAAGTTAATATCTCAGTGCCCTTAGGCACCTAAGACTTACAAATGGCAGAGAAGGTGCCAACAGGCACTGGTAGAGGCAGTTTCTCCTAACTGTGAACCTATCCTTCAAGATAGTAATATCCATCAACAAAGGATGTAAGGTTAGTTTTGGCCTAGCTCCCTCCTAGCAAACCCCTAATGGTCACATGTGCCTTTACTAAGTGATTGTAATCCATCTGCTTCTGAATCTGTCCTGAAGCCTTGTTGGGGATCAACAACCAATTCACTACTAACCAGGCATTTTTGCGCCCTGGGCAAGGAAGGCTGGTTTGGGAGGAGATGAAGACCAGAAAGCACCAGGAGAATGTCATTGCTTTTGTTCAGGCATGGAGAGAAAGGTGGAAAAGAGAGCAGAATGAAGAAGGAGCTCACCCCAGTCACTGAAGGATTGCAAAGGCCATCAGCACCTTCTAAGTTTGGCACCGTAGGACAATGCCCCACCGTCCTACCCTAGTTTTAGCTCTGATCAGGATGGAAGCCCATGTCTATTCTCTAAAGCCTTATTCTTCTCTGGATTCCCCCAAGGGATTGATGATCATTTCGTAATTGCATTTGCCTGTTCTTTCAGGATCGTGGGATATAACTCATCCGGGCCTAGAGCCGTAAACTCATTTAAAGGGGCTAGGTTCTCTCTTACCAATCTGGGCTTTGGTTTTCTCTTAATACTATTCTAATCCAACTCAGCTGAAAATCATCTTTAGGAGACAGTGCGACACAGTGATGTTGACCTCCTTCCATTTTAAGCAAGAACGTCTAGCATTCACTAAGGACTCCAGGATAAAATTTTGTCAAAAGGATGTGGATTTGTCCTGCCCCTTAGTACCTGTGTGACTGTGAGCAGGCTACCTAGCAGTGCAAACCTCCCTCAGGGACCTCTCAAACCACTTTGCTTTACGATTGTCTAATGACCTGAATGTGTAATATTGTGTCATTTAGCTAATCTCTGTTTGTATCTAGGTGGTACACTGGATAACGAGTTGGACCTGAGTTCAAATACAGCCTCAGACACTTATTATCTATGTGACCCTAGGCAAGTCACTTAATTGCTTTCTGTCTCAGTTTCCTCATCTATAAAATGGAGATAATAAATAACACCTACCTCACAGGGCTGATACATAAGGATTAACACTTTGCAAACCTTAAAGTACTATATATTAGTTATGTTAGTTATTATCATTATTTACTATTATAATTCCCCTGCTAGACTATAATCTCTCTGAAGAGAGGAAACATGTTTCATCTAATAATTTATATAGCTCTTTCAGGTATGATATGCTCTCATTTTGTTCTTACAGCAAATCTGTTGTTATTATCTTCATTTTACAGATGAAGAAACTGAGGCAGAAGGAGGTTACTTGCCCAGGGTCATACAGCAAGTAAGTGTCTGAAGCACGATTTGAACTCTGGTCTCCTGACTCCAAGCCCAATACTCAACCCTTACCCTATCTGACTGCCTTAATGATTCTTGGAGGGATGGGAGAAGATGGAGTCAGAGACTGCTCCAAGGTGACAAACTTGGGTGAGCAGAAGTATGATAGTGTCCCTTTAAAGAAAAAAGGCTTTTCGGAGGAAAAATATACTGAATCCTATTTGATATTTTCCAGCAAAGTTGTCAAGAAGAAGTTGATAAATGGCCACGGGGATTCAGGAGTGGGATTGGAGGCTGGATACACAGATCTGGAGGCCATCAGCAAATAGATAATAATTCATTCAGGGCCTCATCACTCTTATGGATTTCCCTTTGGCTAAGCCGTCCTTTGATCTAGTGGACTTGCTCTTTGTAAATCCATCCTTGTCAAAGAGCACCCCACGCTCAAACCCCTCTTCTTGTAAAATTCCCTTTTATTCCCTCATTAGATTCGCTAGACTTTCTAAAAGGGAAGATGGCTCTAGAGAGGTGAAAGGCTTTCAAATGTGAAAGCCAGACTCAGAATCTAATCATATTTCCCTGAGATTTTGAAGTCTAATGGCTTGAGGAATAGCCATTTCCGATCCTGTGAATTTTTCCATTTGCTCCCTAAAGGATATCTCTTAGATGTACAAACTAGTACGTCTAAGGAAGCACACCCCTTTGGATCTTGCCATTGAAATGTCAAATCTTCTTGCTTTAATAATGGGAATTTTGAAAAGACAGAGGAGGCAAGATGAAATTTTCCTCAAGTTTCTCTCCCATTCTAGGTTCCAAAACCTATATTTCATCTATTCCCTGGCCCAAAGTGCTAGGTAGAATCATGATGAACTTACTTCAAAATAATAGTAGCTGATATTTCTAAAACACTTTTAAGTTTTACAAAGCACTTGACTTACCCAAACTCATTTGAGCTTCAAAATATCCTTGTTTTCCAGATGAGGAAACTTTCTCTACCAGTAGAAACAGCCTCAACCAAAGAAATCACAAATCTGTTTAAGAATTAATTTCTTTTTTGATATGAGCAAATTGAGGTTCAGATTAGGACACAATCAGTACTCCAGTACCGCTGGAGCAGGACAGAGCACAGTGGGACCATGACCCATGACTTGGAATGGGTTCCTGAAAGCTAAGTCTCTCTCAATGTAGCCCAAGACTGAATTCACATTTTTCAGTTGCTAGGATTATTCAGTATCAAAAGCAAGACTTGAACCCAGGGCTCAGTGATGACCTTCCCCCTCAGACCTGGCAACGCACTTTGTTTTACAACTTTTGCGTTTTTCATACGACACTGAACATTAAAATTTGCTGTGTCTGTGTTGGCAGCTAGAGGGAACAGTGGATAAGAGCTCTGGGTCTAGAGCTCTGAGTTCAAATTCATGTTGTCCAAGTGCCTCATTCTATAGATAAAGAAATGGAAGATTAAGATTTAGTGACTTACCTCCAGGACACTCAGGTTGCATGTGACAGAGCCAAGATTGGAACTCAGGTCTCCTAGGTCCAGCAGAAAAAAGTGTTGGATTTGGAGTCTAAGGCTCTGAGTTCAAATCCCAGCTCTGTAACTTATTTCCTGTGTGATCCTCAGCAAGACAATTAACCTCCCTGAGCCTCAGGTTCCTGATCTATAAATATCAAGGGATTAAATATGGGGTTTTCCAAGGGGTTTTTCCCCAGGTCCAAAATCTATGATCCTACTAATACCTTGAATTGCTTTTATATCATTAAACCTCAAAAATAGCACCTCAACTTAATTTGTAATTTTAGCATCAATGGTGTCATTGTCTTGAAAGAGTATTGTTAACTGGTTCCGTTCCCTAGGATTAATGAATGGTTCTGCCCCCTGGGGAAAGTGATCGAGAGTACAGGAGAAGTCCAGTAACCTCCCCCGACCCACGAGCATCTACTGGCACAGATCTCTTACAGGTTGGGGACTTGTCGCTTCGGAAATCCCAAAGGAGGGAAACATGGGCCAGTTGGGAGGGGTAAGACAAGAGAGGCTGATGGGCAAGCTCTATCCATCACTAAGCATGAATGAGTCACTTACTCTGTGCATCCTTCTAAGCGCTGCAGATACAAAGTGGGAACAAGGGGAAGTCTGGGCACCTGTTCAGGTGTCAAGGGTGCTCAAAGTGAAGGAGCAGAGAGGGCCGTGCCATCCGGCACAAATCCTAAGGGTGCCGGCACAGGCTGAGTTTCTCCCAAAGGGCCCTAGAGAAGCAGGCTTCTCCAGGGCTGACTTACCATGCAGTGGATGACGCAGACATTCTTGGGGTTCTGTTGAAGCCAATTATGCATGTTCTTACAGACAGCATAGAGATTGTGCAGGCTCGGCGCTTGTCGCATCGGCCAGCTGCATTCTGAGACCTGGGGACCGCAACAAAGACGTGAGTGTTGCTTCCGGATAGATGGCCTGGTGCTCAGGGGGAAACACTAGGTGGAGTGGTTTCTACATCACACATGAGTTCTTCTTTAAAGAGTTTGGTGTCAAGCAAAGGGAATCAGGAGATAAATGTAATGAAAAGAGGGATATGATAGGGAGGGGGAGGGATGGGGCATGAAAAGATAGGGGAAGGGAGTAGGAGGAGAAAGAGTTGGGGGAGTGTTCTCTTCCATGGTAGCATAGCACATAGAGCTGGGAAGGGAGATACAGCATTTATGAAACACCTACTAGGACAGGCACTACGCTGAGAAACAGTAAAATCATGGTGTCAGGGGTTTGTTTTGAACTCAGATCTTCTTTGCTCTAAACTCACCACTTACACCATTAATATTATATTGCCTTGCCTTAACAACATCTTCATAACTCATACAAACCTCAAAATAACCTCAAGAATTCAACAAATAAATTGTAATGGAGTAAAGGCATTCTCACAGATTAAACTATCATCAATAAATCATGAACCTCGCAAGGACCCACAGAAATTCAAGAATGTTTTTTCATAACAGTCATCATACTAAATATTTATAATATCCAAAGTACATGGAATGAAATATTCTCAAAATATAGACACTGAGCAAATGAACTAGAAGCCATCTGAGAGTAGGATTCAGGACATCTCATGGCCATCCTCCTGCCTGCTACTGGATCTGTCCTGAAGGTGCCTCCAGTGGGTCTATGAAAGAGGAGCTTGGACCCCAGTCCTTCGATTCAATAATCATATTATCCTGAGGCACCATTATTCCCTGATGACTAAACATAAGAAGATGGCATCAGGACCGCCACTTGCCCCAGGACTGCCTCTATAAGGAAAAAGATGAGAAGGAAATCATGATGGGGATGAGCACTGATATTTCGAAGGCCCTTTTGAGTTTTCACCCAAGCCACATGGTGGAAAGAGACACGCCCCTGCAGGTGTGTCTGGGCGCTGAAAACAAAGATGAGCACATCATTCCACCTCCACTTCCAGCTTACATAAGGGACTTAGAAACACTGGCGGTGGGGTGGCCAAGGGTCAAAAAGGCGTCAGAGATTTCGGCGAAGACCAGGGTGCCAGTCTCAGCTCTGGCCACTGACTAGCACAAGTCCTTCAGTCTCTAAAATGGGACTAAGAATAAAAAGGAATCACCACCTCAGGCTTCAATGTGGACACTGGGAGGTCAATCACTATGTCAAAGATAAAGCACTGTTGCAAGGTTAATTCCTAGAATAACAACAACAAAAACAACCACAATGAGGATGACAATGGTGATGATGATGATGATGAAGATCATGATGATAAGTAGCATTAACATAGCACTTGTAAGGTTTGCAAAATCTCATCTGGTCTGCGTCCCTCTGGCTCTCCACTGCCCAAGACAGTTCTGAGCTGATTCTAATCAGAATCCTTTCCTCTGCAGCCCTCCCTCCCCCTACAGCTGAAGGTCAGTAGATGTCCTTCCTCTCACAAGATGCAAACTCGCTATACGAACCAGGTAAAGCACAATTAGAGAAGGTGAGTTTGCCATCAAAAATAGTAGGCGTATTCCAACTGTGATACCACTGAAGGGGATGTTTGCTCAAGTTAACCATGCCTGCCAAGCCTTTGTGGTTCTCCTCACATCTTCCCATACATGCACTATGGAGGGTTCATACCCACCGTGCTGGGGCCTTGTGTTCTCTTAGTATTTAAGGGGTGCTAATGCATAATGTGGGTAATTCACTAGTTACTCTTTGCTCTTACAATTTCCTAAGAAAGCATTGTTAGGTCATCCATTGTGTGTGTTTAATTTAGAAGACTGGAATGGGGTGGGGGTGGCATATTAAAGCACAAACATTTTGCAGCTGGAAGGCACCATTTTTTTGGTCATATTGTCCCTTTCTCAAATAATACTCTTCAGTCTGGAAAGAAGATGCCCAAGAGATGAAAATTTGAAAAGATCTGTAAAGATTTTTTATTATATTATTTTTACCATAAAAGACAGTCGAATTACTCATTCTGTTGTACTCAGTACTGTGAGAACTACCTAGAGGCAATGGGTGGCAGAGTGTCTAGAACCTGGCCCAGAATCAGGAAGCTCTGAGTTCAAATCTAGCCTCAACACTTACTAACGGTGCGACTCCAAGAAAGTTACTAAACTTCTGTCTGGCTTAGTTTCTCCGACTGTAAAATGGAAATCATAGCAGTGCCTACCTCACAGGGTCATTGTGAAGCTCAGATGAGATCATATTTGTAAAGCTCTTAGCACAGTGCTTGGCGCGTAGCAGGCACTTACGAAATGTTTATTCCCTCCCCCACCCCTGCCCCCACCCCATCTGAACTCTAACATAACAGCACCAGAGGCACTTCTTCATAAAATAAAGAAGATAAAGATGGGGAAACACAGGCAAGATCAAGTCCAAGCAGAGAGAAATCTTGGCCCCGCCTCTCCCAAAAGGAGCCCTAAGAATATCAAACCCATTCTTATCCATGCCAGATACAAATGACTTGGGATTATCCAGTTTTGAGTTATCTGTTGTGCCTTGCTGAATTATGCGCAGATAAGGAGGAAAGGGAGTGTGATAAAGAGATGGGGAAACACTGTAACTAAAATTTGTTTTCATCAATAATTTTTTATGAGAATATCCATGATGTAACAGAAAAAAAATCCATTCCACTGAGAGGTGGGAGCCTTGGGGTGGCATACTGTCCTGGTCACTAATTAATGATCTGAACTTTAGCAATGATTTACCCTATCTGGGCCTCAGTTTCCTCATTTATAAAAAGATGGATTTGGCCTAGGTGATTACTAGGATTCCTTCTAGCTCTGTTATCTATGATTCTGCCCTTCCCCCAAAAAACTGGCTTTAAGGGCATTCAGCCACAATGCCCATCTGATAAGTGACCTTGGGGTCAAAAATTGGATCTTTGACCATGCTTGGCTTAAACATACTAATAGCTCCCAAGTCACTAATTTAATCAAGTCAACAATATGCAGTTAAAGTCATCTATAATTATATATTTACTTGACATATAATTGCATACCATTAAACAAACATGTAATTAGGAATTTTTAAGCATGCATATGGTCTAAAGAAAAAAATACCATAAACACATTTTAAAAAGGCAAATTCAATCTAAGCGAGCTATTTTTTGTTCTCTAGGGTTTTCAACCCCATACAATAAATGGAATTCTTAAGCATAAGACTTCACAGCGCCTTCTTCAAGGGCCTTCCCCAGATCTGATAAGGATCTGATGAACAAGATTTAAAGGAAACTATCACAAATATAGAAAGATAAGAAGTGAATTCTCTAATGAATAAGTAGTCAGTGGATACAAACAGTTCTGAAGAATTGCAAATCATTAACAACCATATGAAAGAATGTTCCAAAACACTATTAACAAGAGAGATACCTTTTTTTTAATCACCTCTGTGGTTTCACCTGATGCACAGCAAATTACCAAAGATTTATTTAAAAAAAAATAAAGAATAGTTGATGTTGAAGGAGCTGTGTAGGAAAAATAAAAGCATACTAACGCATTATTGGTAGACTTGCATATTGGTCCAACCATACCAGAGAGAAATTTGGAATTAAGATAAGAAAGTGACAAATATGGCCAGACAGAACAACAAAACTGAATCCTGCCTAATTATATCCACCAAGCTCAGCCCTAAGGACAAGATGAGAAAATACACTTGTCTCTTTCTTTTGCAGAAGTGGGAGGTTACAGGTATGGGAAATTGCATACACCATCATACTCAGTTGATGCTTTAATAACTGTTGCTCAAATGTTCCACCTCCCTCCATATCTTTTTTATTCTGAGTTATAAAGGATGGCTGATTACGTTGGGGAGGGAGAAGAATACATTTGGAAATGATGATATAAAAACCAAAAAATCAATAAAAATGAAAAAAAAAACAGAGAAAAAATCAATAAAAAAGCCATTTTTGTAACTCTTTGGAGTTTTCAATCCCACAAAATAAACAGAATCATTGAGTCAAAGACTGCTCAGTGCCCCTGAGTACCCAAACCCTGACACTCCAGGTCACAAAACATGGTGCTGATGGATCTGTGTCCATATTATCATACCAGAGCAAGGGGACAGAAAGTTACCTGGGCTGAATCCAATTCTAGCCTCACCTCTCTTTTTTCCCCAAGAACAAGGTGTCCCAGATGGGTTGCAGAATTCTATTTGCTGAGGGCAGTAACAAAAGCTGTTACAGTCAGAAGAAAACTGAGATGCTCTTTGCTGATTTTCTAAAGTTCTCAAAGACCCTAGAGGGGAAGGGTTTGGCTGCCTAGTTGTTTTTTTTTTTTTTTTAAGTTTTTGGTCATGTCTGACTCTTCATGACATCATTTGGGGTTTTCTTGGCAAATATACTGGAGTGGTTTGCCATTTCCTTCTCCAGCTCATTTTACAGGATTAAATGACTTACCCAGGGTCACATGGCTAGTAAGTATCTGAGGCCAGATTTGAACCCAGGAAGATGAGTCTTCTAGGCCTTCCAGGCCTGGTGCTCTATGCACTATGGTGCCATGGCATCACTTAGCATCTAACTTACATTAAACTTTTGCATCTTTTCTGCTAGAGAACTACAATATAGTATACTTGAGTCAACTAAACCAATAACAATAACAATTACAACAACCACAAAACAATATAATTACTATAAAGAGAAACCACATGGTACAGTGGATAGAGGGTCAGCCTTGATAGCAGAAAGATCAAGGTTCTAGTCTTGCGTCTGACAGATGTGTGACCCTGGGCAAGTCACATAACTTCTCAGTGGCTGTAAGCTACAGAGAAGGAGCTGAACTGCATTGGTAGAGGAAGTTCCCTTACCTGGGAGTTCCCTGTGCCAATGAAATCACAGACCTGGAAAATAATCACATTACTAATAAGCAATGACACTAACATGAAATTGTCAAGATTTCAAAGCCCTTTACATACATCATCTGATTTAATCTTCACAACAACCCAGAGAGGAAGTTAATACAGGTATTATAGGAAGATGAGGAAATTAAGGCTCAGAGAATCCCACTTATAAGGTATCTACATTACGCAAAGCCCTGTTCTGAGAGCTAGGGATACAAAGATGGATAGAACATAGACCCTGATCTCAGAGGGTGGAGAAGAGCCCGGCTTGGCTGGAATACCAGCAGATACATCAATATGAGGGCTCTGAAGAGGAGACCATAATCTGTCTTTCCTCATTGGACTGTGAGCTCCTTGAGGGCAGGGACTGTCTTTTGCCTCTTTTTGTATTTCCAGTTCTTAGCACAAAGCCTGACACATGGTAGGCACTTGATAAATGGTTGGTTTGGGTTTTTTTCTTAATTGATTGATTGTCTGTGTCTTAAGGAGTTGCCTAATACATAAGAAGACCCTTAGGTCACACAGCATCATAAGCAGGATGTGAACTAGGTCTTCTTACCTTCAAGACCATTACTATGTCCACTACACCCCACTACTGCTCACAAGCTGAAATATAGAAAATAAAAAAGTGAAGTGTAAGAGGGATGATTGCACCCACACCAGGAAGGGCTTTGAATGTAAAAGCAAGAGCTTACATTTGACTTGGCAGTCCGTGAGAACCCCTGAAACTCTCAGAAGTGGGACTGGATTGACTTTGCATTAGACAGATTACAGGAGCTGCAATGTATAAAATAGACTGCAGAGAGTATAGAAGAGGCCTAAAAGCTAGATTCAATTGGACTAGTCCAGGTGAGAGGAGATGGGGGCTTGAATTTTGGCTCTTGCAGCAGACAGGAATGGCCAGATACCAGGCACGTGGCCAAGGAAGAAATGGTGGACTTCTTCACTGTACAGACACCAAGGTCATGAACTTGGGCAGCTAGGAGGAGGCTGGGGCCACGAACAGAGAGAAAATTTGAGGAAAGAGGGTGAATTCTGTATTGTAAACTCTTGTCCTTAATATACGATGACAAGAAACGCAGGAAAAGACCCAGCATCCACCTGACAGGTGGAAATAAGGGGCTGGTCCCCTGGGCAGAAGTCGAGAGATGGAGGTAAGAATGCCAAGAGTCATTTGCCAAGTGGGGATCACTGAAGTCACAGGTGTCGATGAGAATCTGCAAGGGTCAATTATTTGTTAATAGGAGTTTGACAGTGAAGGGAAGGAGAGGGAAAGTAATAACTTGAGGGAATACCAGGATCAAGGAAAGCTGAGCTTTTTTATCTTTTTTGTTTGTTTGTTTGTTTTTTTTTTTTTCAAGAAAGGAGAAAGCCAAGTATGTTCATAACCCGGGGTAAGGAGCCCAGTTGAGGAAGAGAAAGCAGCGAGGGTTTTAGGATTTACAAATAGCTTTGCAATCTTTCTCTCCATAGATCTTCCTACCAACCCTAAGATCTAGGCACAATCCCATTTTCCAGATGAGAAAACTGATGCTCAGAAAAGGAATGTGAGCAGCCCAGAGTCACAGAGCTAGTGAGGGATAGGATTTTAACCAGATTTCAGAACTAATGCTCTGTCCATTGTGCTACATGCTCTCACCTGAAACACTTAATATAGGTAGTTGATCAATTGATTCTTGGCTCCACAGGCAGGCAATGATTAAGTCTAAGGTGAAGGGGACCCTATTTTTTCTTCCTGCTTCCCTCCTGAACCCAGAGACTGAGAATGGAAACAGAAGAAACAATTGCATTCCAAAGGGCTCTTGAGCAAGCTCTGGACACCTATTGTATCACACACACACAAGTGATTTAAAAAGTTCTCTGGGGTGATATCCTGGGGTTGGCCAAGGTATTTTGATTTCTGAAGTAACAATCAGTTTAGCTCTTAAAACACTCTGCAAACAGGAAAGCAAGAAAGGGGGACCAACTGAGAGGCTTTTCTATGCTTCCAATGTGATTGCTTTCCCCTTCCATAGCATGGAGGCAGCATCACAGAATCATAGAATGCTGAACCTGGAAGGGATGCTCTTGTGCATTTTTAATTTTTTTTTCTTTTGCCTTTTGGTGAGGCAATCGGGCTTAAGTGACTTGCCCAGGGTCACACAGCTAGTAAGTGTCATATGTCTGAGGCCAGATTTAAACTCAAGTCCTCCTGACTCCAAGGCCAGAGCTTATCCACTGTGCCACCTAGATGCCCTCTTCTGCATTTTATAGAGAAGGAAACTGAGACTCAGAGAAATGAAGCTTGCCAAGGTCACACTAAGTGATAGAATCAAGACTCAAACCGGGCCTTCATTCTTCAAATCCACAAAATGGAACTGGGATAGCGTAACTGAGCATTGAAGAAATGCCACATTGGCTCAGCCTCATTAATCTGCCACCTAGTACTCACCCTCGACGGAGGTGCCATGGGGTGACTTGTAGAAGGCCCTCTGGGCAGCTAGGTGGTGCAGTGGATAGAATGCTGGGGCTACGGTCAGGACCCGAGTTCAAATCTGGCCTCAGATGCTTAATAGCTGTGTGATGCTGGGCAAGTCACTTAACCTCTATTCACCTTAATCCACTGGAGAAGGAAATGGCAAAACACTCCAGTATCGATGACAAGAAAACCTCCTGGATAGTATGGTCCCTGGGGTCATGAAGAGTCAATCACAACTGAACAACAAGGTGTCCACTGTGACATCAGGCTCAATCAGTAAGATGCCCCGGCCCTTCTGGGCTGCACATCTGATTTTCCTCTGATGATCCAAAGACAATAATACCTTTGTCCAAGAGAGCAAAGATCCAGAAGGAGAATGAGCATTGCACATGGAAGGGCCTCTGGGTCAGGATGTCCACTCTTCTCAGTTTTTTAAGCACATGAAGAAGCTTGAGACCTAGAGGCCAAATGATTTGCCCAAGGTCGCTCAGCTAGCAAGGAGCAGAGTGGGGCTCACACATCCATGCTCCACCTCCAAACCCAGAGCCCTCTCCATCCCCATCAACAATAGCCAGATGTTAGGAACGAGCTATCATCACTAAATCATCATCTGTGTGGTTCTTTAAGTTTTGCTAAGTACTGTACATGCAATCTCATTTGCTACTAACAACAACTCTGTGAGGTTGATGCAATTATGATTCCCATTTTACAGATGAGAAACCTGAGGCTGGAAGAGGTGCTGTGATCTGCCCAGAGTAACATAAGAAGTGAGTGTCTAAGACAAGATTAGAATGCAGCTCTCTCTGATTACGAGTCCAACACTGTCTCTACTGTGCCACCTACTTAGAGAAAGTCTCAGAATCATGGAACATTAGTGCTGGAAGGGACCACCAACATCCCCTAAGCCAAGAGTTCTGAACCTTTGGCAGGCTTGGGGAACCTACGGGCTCCTTCTCAGAATGTTGGTTATGTTTTTAGCACATAATTGAAGGAAATGGCTGCATTTTAGACAGTAGTTAGTGAAGATAAAGATGTATAATTGTTTGCCTCTCCAAGTTCACAACCCCCCCCCTTTGAAAACCAACAATGGCCAGTTGACCTCAGGTTAAAAACCTAGCTCTAATCCAAAACACTTATTCCTATTTCAAAAATGAGAAAATGGAGGATCACTGAGAAAAGCATTTGATATTTTTTTAGACTCTCACACAGAGTCATACCTAGGAATTTTGGCACCTGGGGCAAGTACTACAAACCAGGTTCTCTGTTGACTTGAGAATGAGGGAAGAAACTCACAGGTCATGTGTACAAGGTCACTGCTAGGGAGGCTTCTGCATGGGAAAGGGGAGAGAGAGAGGTAGGGGAAAGCTCACCCCAGTCACCATCTGGTTGCTTCCTATTTTAACTAATCTCGCTAATGAGGTGCTCAGCTCAGTGGTTTCTACACTGCTGAAGGAAGGAATGTGCTATCTGCCCTCTAAATCTGCTGCCTTCCCAAGTCAAGCACATGGGGCAAGATGGATGACTCCGCCTGTCCTCAATGGAAACTCACAATGGTTTTCTCCTTCCCACCCGCAAGCCCTGTGGTTTTTAGGAACCCCACAATGACATGGGACGGTAGATAGAAAAGTGCCATGGAACGTTCTATATACTATAGCCAGGGCCAGACTTAGAAATGGAAGCTTGATACCCCTACCATAGCTAGGGTATCTGAGGGGTGTGTGTGTGTGTGTGTGTGTGTATGTGTGTGTGTGTGTGTATGAAAGAGAGAGACAGAGAGACAGAGAAACAAAGACAGAGACAGAGAGAGACAGAGAGGGACAGAGAGACAGAGAGGGACAGAGAGACAGAGAGACAGAGACAGAGAGAGAATAGATCAGAGAGGAAAGGAGAAGAGAGGAGGGGAAAGGTGGGAAGGGGGGGGAGAAAGAGAAGATCAAGTAGGGTCATAGCATCATAAGATCTAACTCTAGAGATCAAAGACTCTTAGAGGCCTTCTAGTCCAACCACCTCATTTTACAGAGAGAAAACTGAGGCACAAAGGGGTTTAGAGATTTGTCCAATGTCACTCAGGTAGTAAACGGTAGAGCTGGAATTCAAATTTAAGTCACAGATCTGAAGCTGGAGGGGGCCTTGCAGGCTCCTTAGTCTAACCCTCTCGTGTTACTCAGGTCCCCGGAGGTGACTGCCCTGTCCAAGGTCACCCAGCAATCCGCGGTCCCGAGAGGATGCACATTTAGTCCTTCTGCCCCCAGTCCCTGGTCTTCCCCAGCACAGCTGCTCAGCTCAGCCCTGATCACAGCAGCTGCCAAGGGCCTGGGCATGAACTTGTTCCCGAATACTCTGCAACATCATTATTTCACGTAGCACCTGCCAAGCCATGTGGCTCTTAGCATAATTAAATACTAATGAAGTCACCCATTAAAAACCAGCAGCAGGAGCAAACTCTTCAGGGAAGTTGTTTCTAATCAGAATATAAAGCAACTGTGAGTCCAGAGTGTGGAGTAGATGCCTCTCTGGCCTCCTCTGATGGTACACCTCACCACGAATTCCCCACTTCAGCTAAATCTGCCACGTCTGTCCATGTGTTCTGCACTCCTGCTGTTCCCTAGGCCTGGTATGCCCTCTCTCAATGTTGAATTCCTACCCACTCTTTACAGACCAACTCAAATGCCACCTCCTCCACTAGGAGACAGTCAGTGATTTCCCCTAGGCAACGTGATCTTTCCCCATTGGAAGAGCTGGAATTGAGAGACATTCTACATGTTGTATAAAAGATAGCTCCAGCGAATGGGGTGTTTCCAATGAGATCTTATCCAAACGTGGTATAGAATGCCACAAAATCTCATGGTTTGTCTGCCAGTTGTGCCTTGGCCCCACATTGGGCATGCAGGTCAGGGCTGGACACTGGGAAGGAAAGTTGCCTCCTCAATCTTCTCTTTCTCCCCTCCCCTCCCTTCCCACCTTTCCCCCCCTCTCTTCTCCTTTCCTCTCTGAACTATTCTCTCTCTCTCTCTGTGTCTCTCTCTATCTCTGTGTCTCTCTCTGTCTCTGTCTCTGTCTCTCTCTCACGCACACACATTAGCTTAAACTTAGAATGTGAGGGAAGGTATACATACATATATGAAGCAAGCAGAGAAGAGCGCTAAGTCAACAAAGAAGGTGGTGTGATGATGTGAAAAATAACATTTGGGTAGCTACGTACCAGCATTTATTAAGTACCTAATACATGCCAGGCAATGCTCTAGGCATTGGGGATACAAACACCAAAATGACACCATCTTCCCTCAAGAAACTTATATTCTATTAAGGGAAACAACACATTCACAGAGAAGCAAATAGAAGAGATGTACAAAATATACCAAAATCAAAACAAAGCAATTGGTGGGAGACGCTACAACAACAGAGCTTTTTGTCTAGACCCTCTAGTACTGTGCTTTGCATACAGCAAGTGCTTAATACATGTTCATTAAGTGACTGGAAAAAAGTGACTTCTGTCATTACTGTGAATTTGTAGTGTAGTGGGTAAATTAGGGCGCTGAAGTCGGAGTTAGGAAGACTTTGGTTCAAATCTTGCCTAAGATTCTTGTGACCCACGGAAAGTCATTTAACCTATGTAGGCCTAAATGCTCTCATCCGTAAAATACGGTTGTTGGACTCAACCACTTCTAAAGTCCCTCTCAGCTCTAAATCTATGATTCCACGATCCTATAGTATGATATCTGATGAGGGAACATTGTAGTAATGCAAAGGAAAGAACTCTGGTCTTGGAATCAAAAAACCAAAGTTAGGATCTGGACTCTGTAACATTGGGACAGTCGCTTCACTTACCCTCTGTAAAATGGGGGTTAAGTGACTTGGCCAGGGTCACACAGCTAGTGTCTGAGGTTGGATTTGAACTCAGGAAAATGAGCCTTGCTGACTCCAGGCCTGGCACTCTGGCTACTGCACCACCTAGCCACCTTTATATTAACCATGTTGTATTTGTTTGTATTTGTTCTCATTTCATTCTACCTATGCTTAAACATATACTTGTTGTCTATCCCAACAGAATGCAAACTCTTTGGTTCTAAGTATTGTTTCATTCTTTGCAGCCTCACACAAGGCCTGACCCAAAGGAAAAGCTTATGAAATGCATATGGACTGAAATCCCTGCACAATATTCCTGAGACCCAAGGCTCATCACCCTAAGCGGCTTTAGTACAAAGACTAAAACATGGTCAGGAAGGAAGAGTCCAGCTGATCCAGCCAACTGCTTCCAACTCCATGACAAACAGGTAAAAATGGCATTAAATACTCTCGCAGCAAGGCCCAACAACAGGTTTTTTGGTTCATTAAATGTAACCAGAAAGTCATTTACTTCCAGACAGTGCCCATAAAACAGCTACCTCTCACAAATGATCTCATTTGATTTCCACAATTCTGAGAGGTAGGTTCTATTTTTATCCTTCCTTTACAGATGGGGAAACTGAGGCATACAGAGTGTAAGTGACTTGCTCAGGGTCACACAGCTATTAAATTTCTGAGTCAGGATTTGAACCCAGGTCTTTGTGACTCCAAGTCAAGTACTCTATCCACTATACCAAGTGCCTATTGTGTGCAAAGCACTAGATGTTGGGAATATAAAGGAAAAAAAATTGTACAGTCTCTGCCTCCAAAGATCTTACATTCAGGGAGGGAGGGTTTGCAACATGTAAAGCATACAAATAAATCCAAAACATATACAAAGAAAATACAAAGGAATTTAAGAAGGGAAGAAAGAGAACAAAAGGAGTGGGAGTGGGAGGGGTACAGATGGGGGGGTCAGGAATTCCTGTGGAAGATGGCATAACCTGAGCTTGACCTCACAGAAGCTTTTCTCAAACTCTGTAACCTTGGGCCCCCTTTACACTCTTAAAAATTCCTGGGGACTCCCCAAAGAGCTTTGGTTTCTGTGGGTTATATTGTTCTATATTTAGGAAACATCTTGGTATTATCATGACAATGCCCACTACCAGGCTACCTCCCATACAACAAATCAGAAATGGAAATAAGTTCCTAAACTTTTTTGTGTGTTCCTGACATCTTTGGCAATCTGGTGAAGCCCATGGAACCCTTCTCAGAATGGTGGATGGGTTGGCTGGATATTTTTTTTAAATTGTAACTGAAGGAAATGCTAAATTTCAGTGAGATGTCAGTGAAAATAAGGATGTAAATTTTTTTTCCAACCAAGATCTTGGATTCCCCAAATTCTATCCATGGAGCCAGGTTAAAAACCCAAGTTCTCAAAAGTGTTGACCTCCATGCAAAAGACCAGGCAGGACAGTTCACAGAGAAAGCAGCCAACATAAAAAGGCGGTTCTAAAGGTTTATTTCCACTAAGAGTTGTTAACCTGGGGTCTGGGAACTTAGCTTGAGAACTGTATTTCAATATAATTGGTTTCCTTTGTAATCCTACATGTTTAATTTCAAGCTTTCTGAGAAGGGCTCCTTCGACTTCACCAGATGATAGCCAAAGGGTCCAATCCATGACATGAAAATGGTTCACATCCTTTGGTTGAAGTCATAGTTGTTGTTGCTGCTTTTAATTAAAAAAGCATCACATAACTCATTTTCAGCGTGGTGTTATTCTCATGCTTTAGACCTGGTAACAGATATAACAGAAGTGTCAGAAAAGATATTTTACCAGGTGAGTTGTTCTAATGGCTACATTTTTTCACATGTCACTTTAAAAACAATGGATTTTTAGAAATACTTTGGAAAGTGCTACCTATTCCTTGTTCCTGGAGGATCCAAATGCCAGTATAAAGAAATAAAAAAGGAGGGAATTCATTGTTTCCTAGATGTTTTCATGAGCCCAGAGATCATCATCATAATAAATGACATTTATATAGCATTTTAAGGTCTACAATGTTTACAAATAAGTTTTTACCCTCACAACAAGCCTGAGATGCAGGTGGTATTATCATGGTCATTTTACAGATGAGGAAACTGAGTCTGGAGAAGGTTCACCCAGCTAGTAAGTGTCTGAGACCACATTTGAACAGTCCAGTGGATAGAGCACTGGGCCTGCAGTCAGGAAGAGCTGAATTCAAATCTTGCCTCAGACACTTTACTAGCCATGTGACCCTGAGCAAGTCACTTACTTCTTCCTCAGTTTCCTCATCTATAAAAATGGAGATGATAATAGCACCTACTTCCAGAGTTGTTGTGAGGATAAAATGAGATGCAATTTGTAAGGACTTAGCACAGTACCTTGCACGTAACAGAGACGTGATAAATGTTTGTTTCCTTCTTTCCAAATAGGATAAATCTATTCCCTCTTCTATGGGACAACTCTCCAAATACTCAGAAGGAAGTTATCAGACTCTCCCTAAGCCACTTCTTTACCTCCATTTCATCATTGGAGAAATGAAGGGATAGAAGCAGATAGTTGGCCTTTCTTTGCAGCCGCAGTGCTTGGCGAATATGAAACACATGATAGGTGCTTTTTGACTCAACTTGACTGAATGGATTCTCAAGACCCTTCTTGTTCTAAATCCTGCAGTTCCTGTAGAAGTTGACTGGCTTCTTTGGGATGAGAACCTCCAGCATGGCCTTCATTAACACGAAGCCACTGAGCTAACCCACCACAGAATATTTTTCACCCTAAATTAAAAGGTGTGAATGTCAACCCAACCATGACAACAGATGATTCCTTCTTGCATATATTTTCACCCAAGGAACTTTTCAGGATCTCTGAGAAACACCTAATAAACACTGAATGATATAAACCCTCCAGAGTTGGCCTTCTTAATCTCTTCTGCACACAAAGGAAAAAGCATCTTCAGTCAAACTCTTCAAAGCAGCCCCTGAGCTCCAGCCTAGCTGTGACCCCAGATCAAGGACAACTCACCCTGTTGTGAAACTTGGCACTGCGATAGGATTTGGGTGAGAGATTGAACACTGTATAATGGTCAGGATGCCTGGAATCCAAGAAGGTTCGGACATCTTCTATCTGATTCCTGAATCCTAGCTCAACTCCCTCTGCAGGAAAGGACATCACTAAGAAGGGAAAAAAAGAATTCTGATAAGCAGCACTGTCCATGGTGATTGGCATCAAGTCAAGGCTGCGTCCTTGCGGTCATATGAAAAGTGAGAAACTTACCGATGATTCTGGAGGTAATGTAGGAAATGTCTAATTCTCCCTTAGTGTAACTAAAGACAAGAAAGGGAAAGATATTGGTTAACAACTGGCCCCAAATGCACTAAAACTATCCACTTAGCTCCTGGCCTCCAATCACCTGTCCCTCTTCATCCTCCACCCCAATAAAAGAGTATTAAAAATAATCCCAAGAGACCCGCTACGCTTCCTTTTTAACATACAGATGAATTTTGACCACCTTGACGCATTTACTCTGCCAAAGGAACCATCCTTCTGCTGTCAACGTCGATTCACTGAACAATCCTTTTTACTTAAGCGTCCCATCCACAATGCCCAAAAGCTACCTCTTCACTCCCCCTTTAGATGCCACTCCAAGAACACATGACATTCCAGAACAGAGAAGTTTTGAATACTCATTAGCAGCAATGTTCCAGCCTCACAATCTGGACCGAAATAACTCACGATGGCAAGCCCTGAGACATGGCAGACTTTGAACAGAAAGGTATATTAGTATCTAATAGCAAGCACCCACAACTCCCATCATGCCAAAATAGCTATACTATCCCCTTCCCTACTGCCTTCAATTCTCCCCACTCACATCCTTCCACATTACCTAACATGGGTGTATGTCACTGTATAGGGCCAGGTGACTCTACATTTTTCCATCACTTGTGCTCAGGGGCATTTATTTCTGTTTCTATCTCTCCAATTAAGTTTAAAGCATTTTTGGTGGGGAAGGACCAAGGCTTCAATTTCCTGTAAAGCTACACAAATCAATCAAGCAACCAACCAGCTGTGTGTAACTCTGGGCAAGTCATTTAACTTTTCTGGGACTCAATTTCCTCATCTATAAAATGAAGAGGTTATAAGTCAATGGCTTCTAAAGTCCCCTTCCAGCCTGGCCCACTATAAGGGTAGGGAATGTGATTTCATTTGGCATAGGGAGCTACCAGGAGAGGAAACTCTTTCTACCAATCCAGGTCATCATCTCCTCTGCAACTTACCATCTTAGAGAGTTTCTATTAAGTGTTTTTTAAGCACTAACTTATTTACAAGGCACTTGGGCTAAGCCCGGGAAATGCAAAGAAAAAGCCAATCCCAGTTCTTTCCCTCAAGAAGCTGATGTTCTAATGGCAGAAACAGCATGTGCATAACTAACTACATACAAGATACATAGAAAGTAGAGAAGGTAACCTCACAGGGGCAGGCACCAGCAGGTAAAGAACCGAGTATGAGTCTGAATGTAGCAGGCACTGTTTACCCTGGAAAGATTACCAGTGGCCTGATCCAACATCTACTTCATTCTTACCACTGAGTTCTCTAGCTCTCTGACATGGTCCATCAGTCTTTGCTTGCTGAGCTTCTCCTAGATGGAGACACACATTACCTTCTTTACTGACTCTCACGGCCCCCTTTTTTTTGTTTGGGAAATTTCTACTCCTGTATTCTGCCTACTCAGCACGGATTGTGTCCATACTTTAATCTTCCACTTCTATGCTCTTTCCCACAGAGATACTGACCATGTTTATGTCTCTGATGATTATCTTCTTTCTTTTCTCTCAGACAGCATTCCAAATCTAGGTCTCTACCTCCTCCTAATGAGACCCACATTTCAAACCTGTCTAATAAGCCTCAGTTTCACCTTCCCCTCAAGTTCAACACCACAAGGAACTTCAAATGGGGCCCATCAAGACTCTCGTCCAAGTATGGAGTTTTAGGATCTTTTTAAATTACCTCATTGACCTCAAAGCTCACCAGATATTCCTTGATACAATACTGGTAACTCTTTTTTGTTGTTCAGTCATTTTAGTTGTGCCCAACTCTTCATGACTCCATCTAGGGTTTTCTTGGCAAAGACACCGGAATGGTTTACTATTTCCTCCCCCAGTTCATTTTACAGATAAGGAACTGAGGCAAACAGGGTTAAGGGACTTGCCCAGGGTCACACAGCTAGTAAGTGTCTCAGGTCAAATTTGAATTCAGGTCTTCCTGATTCTAGGCTTAGTACTCTACTCACTGTGCTGTCCTTGGCAACTCTCCAAGTGTATCCAAAAGATACAGTAGGGATAGGGACTAGAACTGTGATTCCACTGGTATATGGAACTCCCTGGGGAAGAAACTCCCTTCAGTTCCTTTGATGCAACTTGGAACCTTAGAGTGTTGCCTAGAATACACATTTGCCAGAAGCAGCACTTTGTTGGATCAAAAATCACTTCTAAATGCCAAAGCCCAGATCTCCCATGTTGTGTTAGGGTAGCTAATGTCTGTTACTGCTCTAGAGAAAATGTCTCTGAAAAATCATTAATAGATGAAATGAGATTGTCTTCAGGCAAAAACTCCCCTACAGACAGGGGTCAAGAAAGCATAATGACAAGATGCAAGGATGGAGATATAGGCCAAGTCTACCTCAAATAGAAATGGAGGCCACGACAACTGCTCATTGACTTAGAAAACCACAAATTAACATTATCTAGTTATACTGTATTATCATTTACTTTGTTAAATATTTCCCAATTCCATTTTTTTTTTGCTTTTTTGGTGAGGCAATCAGGATTAAGTGACTTGCCCAAGGTCACACAGCTAGTAAGTGTCAAGTGTCTGAGGCCGGGTTTGAACTCAGGTCCTTCAGACTACAAGGCCGGAGCTCTATTTACTGCACCAACTAGCTGTCCCTCAATTCCTTTTTAATCTAGATTAAACTAGTCCAGGGCATTCAGGAGTGTTTCAAGGCCCCCAGTCAGTGCTTCTGGTTTGAAACTGTTGATGTAGATGATGGGAAAAACTCCAGAGAATGTTCATTCTTATTCTTCAGAAGAACATATTTGTAAATGACTTTTTTCTCCTTGTCCAAACCTGCAAATTCATTGGAATATGGACTAATGCAATGAGGAAACTCCCTATGCCAATATGGAGCAACAATGATTTTGAAACTTAGAGTCTTGGAGAGCCAGTGGAAACACTAAGAATTTCAATAACATGTTCAGAGTCCTAGAGCCAGTGTGTGTCAGAGACAAGACTTGGAGAAAGGTTTTCCTGAGTCTCACATTGGCTCTCTAGTCATACTGCCATTTCAAACTTTGACATCATTCAGCAAGAAAGGTTCTTGGCCAATGGTCCCATGTAGTCATACCATAAACACAGCTGTCTTTGAGCAAAACAAACAGTGGGAAGGTTTGTTTTGGTTATGTGCCTCACTACAAAGGTTTGTTTCAATACAGAGAGGACAAGTAGCATACCTGGCAACAGACTGCATGACTTTGGAAGAAGTGTCCTTAATGGTGTCTTTGAGGTTGTCCTTTAGGTTGCTAAAGAGCCGCCCTGCACCTCCTTTTACCATGTCAAGCAGACCTCCACCATAGTTGGATTCCATGTCTGGAGATGAGGCACCTGGCAAAGGAAAAGCAGGAAAGGAAGTCAAATTGAGATCAAAGCAAAACAAAACTGAGGTACGATGAAAGCCAGACATTCAGATTGTGATTTATCCTTCTTCATTCCAAAATGAACATATTAGTCAATTATAGCTGACTCTATAAGAAGCATACCTAGATAGCTCCTGTGCTTGGAGGATATTCTAGCTTACTGCTGCACTAAGGGTCTCTATCAAGTGTCAAACCACAGGCTCCTTTGGCACCAGTGCTAGAGATATTCCTCCTGCCAGAAGTCTCCAATGCGCGTATGAAAGGGCAAGAGGAGTCAGACCATAGGAAAGTGTAAGGGACAGCATTGCTCTATCATTGATCCCACCAAACTGCTTACTTCCTTACCCTGGTAGTAATGACAGAACCACCTCTTCTCTGAAATAGCAATCCCTGCCACCCACAGTCTGCTTTTGATCAGTCCTAGCAAGAACAAGAAAATTCCCTATTCACACCAGTCCCTCAACCTTTTTTCACCTGGTTGCACTACGCTGGGTGTAGACCTCTCTGGTGTCTTCACCATGTCCCAGGAAGCTCATTGTTGGAAAAACTTCAACATCTTGCAAGATCCCAGCAGCCCTAGTATTCTATCTCATCACCAACCTCTCCCCTCTAATTGGAGACTGGGGCCATGAACCCCCAAACCTCTATTTAAGAAAGCAGCTCAACTCAGACATCTTCTTATTTCTTACTTGGCTGCCCTACTCTGGGATGTCTCTGACTTTTTCACCATGCAAAGTGAGATTGTGAGGGCAGGGATTGGTTTTCTTTCTTTCTTTCTTTTTTCTTTCTTTCTCTCTTTCTTTCTTTATTCTTTCTCTTTGTATTTGTATCCCCAGCACTAAACACAGTGCCTGGCACATAGTAAGTGCTTAATAAACATTTATTGACTGACAGACTGACCACTACCCAACCCTCCCCCCTTACCTCTACTCACTTACTGCTCCCTTCCAATGTTATCACAGAAAGAAGCACTCATAAATCATGTCCAGAGATCCCAGCCATCACCAGGCTTAATAGGTAGTCAAGCCCAGGTTCACAGAGTTACCCTCCCTTCACAGCCATGATTAAAATATCATAAAACCAGTGTGATAAAGTGCTAGATGACATAAATAGATTTAGCTCGATAGAGTGGAGAAAATGATTCTGAGGTTTATTCTCATGTGACATGATGTATTGCTATAATAGCGTAAAAAAAATATCCCCAGATTGGAAGCCAAATTTTGTCATCATCTCTAATATGGCAATTACTGAATCTGGGCAGGGGAAGGGAGGGAGGCAGGGAGAGGAATTTTGTACTTGCTCATTTCAAAACCATCCAAAGTTCTATTTCCAAC